CTGCCTGCCGCAGCTTGTGGATGCAGGGGGACACGCGGTCCGCGCCCACCAGGGACTGTGCGTGCAGGGGCAGCGCCCCCAGGCCTGAAAGGGAGTACATGGTCTGAGGGTAACATGGAGGGGACAGCAGAGGTGGAGGGAGGTGAGGAGGGGAGAGGAGGCAGCCAGGCAGCTGATGTCACTGCCAGCTGGGCACCCAGGGCCGTCCTGCGGGTGGGGCCAGCACCAACGAAGGCTGGTGCTCATCCTCGGGGCTGGGAGACCGCGGCCAGGAGGCGACTGGCTTCTGAAGCGTTGGTTAGCACACTGGGCGTCAGGGGGGGTCAAGGAGCAGGGGCCCACCCCAGGTGGCATCAGTACAATGCCACCTGCCCCAGGATCTGAATGCCCCATGGACCCCAGGTGCAGAGCGGGGGGGGGGGGGGGAGCCTATGGCAGTGTCCCCCCCAACTGTCACAAAGGACTGGGGTTAGGGCTGCGTCACGGAGGGGCTCTGAGCCACGCGTGCAGGCAGCTTTGCTGCTCGGCATGGCCCGACGCCGAGTGTCAGCAGGGCCTCCTGTAGGGTCTCGCTGGCCGGGCTCGCTGCATCTTAAATCAAGGACCTGCTGCGACGAGAGGCCTCGGCCTCTGAAACTGCTTTAACACCAAGCCACTCACGCAAGTGCGTGCACGAGCCGGTAAGTGAGCCTTTTGCCTTCTCTGGCTCGCGTCTGTGTTGTTTCTGCCATGAGCGCCTGGTCTGGGCGTCTGCCTGTCCCCAGCCCCTGTTCCGTAGGTACCTGCCCCCGGCAACCTCGGACCGACGTCACTCAGGGTAACATGGCCTGGGCGCCTGGGCTGGAGGACCGCCAGAACTGACTGCTCCAGTTCTGGGGCACCCACGCGGCTGCTTCTGGGGCGGTCCGGGACCGCGGGGCTACCCTAGTGGGCAGTAGGGGCCCAGGGCAGCCCGGCCAGCTCTGAAGGAGTCCAGTGGTCCCTGCACCAAGAACACAGCTGTGTGTCTCCCTGACCCTGGGGGCCGTTTCTAAATGCACCTCAGTGGAAGCCGTGTGAGAGGCAGCCCACCCCCCCCCCCCCCCCCCCTTCACTCCCACAGAGGGGCTCGCAGGGTCCCTCAGGTGTCCTTCCTACCACGCGCCCTGCAGCTTCCTGTGATACCGTATTAAGTATCATCTGGTCGGAAACGAAATGAAGCACAAACTCAAAGGCAAGCTTCCTAAATAAGTTTGGAGAAAAGAGAGAAGCCCGCCCTGAAGAAGGGGTTTCGGTCTCCTGTTGCCTAGATGTGAAGGGGCTCGGCAATCCCACGGAGACGCGGGAGCCAGCCGCGCTGAGACGGGGTTAGACGGTGCACCGGCTCCTGGGGGCCCTTCTCAGGACACGGTGCATGGCTGGTCACGCGTCCTTCCGTGTTTCTGCCTTGATGCATGTCCCGAAGGGAAGGGATGCTCTGGGTCCCCGCCGGGCACTGTGCCCTCCATGAAGGAGGCTTCCACGGCCAAAAGGGACCAGATGGGCTTCTTAGAGGCCCAGCTCCCAGGGCCAGGGGTGAGGAACAGGCCACCTGGGCCAGGGTGTGGACGCACGGTTACACGGTGTTCGGAACTCACCACCCTGCCCAGGACCCCAGCTCCTGTACCCCCTGCACTCAGACCACAGCTTGTGCAGGGGCGGGGAGTCCTTGGGGATATACACCAACATCCCTGTGGGCATGACACCCGGTTTCAGGTCCCAACGGGGCAGAGACCCGCCGCCCCTCCTGGTTCCGTCCCCCTGGGCCCCTCATTGGCGCTCGGTGTCCCCTCACCCATCTAGAACCTCTCTAGGGCCTGCTGGGGTGTGGAACCTGGAGCTGCCTCACACAGAACCGCGACTGCGGCCGCGGCCGTGGCCATGGCGGACCGCGTGCGCCCATTCTGTGCAGAGCGTGCCTAGGCTCACCTCACCGGCAGGCCCCGACCACGGCTAAGAGTCTGTGGCCACCATGAGAGCTCGGGGAGATGGCAGCTGCTGGAGCCCTGGTAGCATAGAAGTGGCTGTACCAGGTCCGGGTGGGCATGAGGACAGTCTGGCTTGGGAGTTACAGCCTAACGCCGGGCCTGCGCCCCACTTCTGCCTTCCTGCCCAAGCCCAGGCACGGGTTTCTCCCACAGCTGGCCTGGTGTCCGGCGCCGAGAGCATGTGTCCTTCCCATTACCTGCCTTGCCCCCTTCCTGGTAGTGGGCCTGGGAATGAGTCTTGGGCTGTGTAAAGGTGGCAGAGCCACATCCGTGCTACACCCAGTAATAAACGGCAACGTCCCCTCGTCAGGGTGGTCAGCTCAGCACGCCTGCGAGTCTGTGGGCGGGCGCTCACAGCGCCAGGCGGGACTGGGAGAGGCGCCGTCGGAGCTCTGCCCTGCACTCTGGAGCCAGGCGAGGGGTGGCCTGTGTGGTGGACCTGTCCAGGCAGGTGAGCTCTGCTGGACGGAGGACTCAGGTGCCCCAGCCCGAGCAGCCCAGGGGCACAGCCCTGTCGGTGCAGCTTTTTAAAACCCTGCTGGTGTGAAGTCAATCAGGCGAGTCAGGGCCAAACCGGTGCTCTGCAGTCTGGCCGGGCTCTGGGGGTAATCCATGTGTTGGGGAGCGGGGCTGGGCTGGCACCGAGGGCCGTCATGGGCCGTGACCCAGTGAGCAATGCACAGGGCTGTCCCGGGGCTCCGCTGTTTGCGGAGATCAGGACCACGGGGGCACACCTTGCAGGTGTGCACAGGACAGGGTGGTTCCTGGCCACTGGTCAGGCACAGGGAGCCTGTCAGCTCTCGATACACGCAGGGCACACCTCCAGGTGTAGGAAGACGCTAGAAAGATCTGACTCAGCCCCGCCCTGCAGCATTGCCCTCCCCGGGGTTCTTCCATCCACAGCCCTGCCCATCCTGCCCGGGGCCTTGGCTGTGGCGTCACCTCCCTGGTCCCCAGCCCTGTCCCTGACGTGCCGCAGCCTTGGCGCTCCTAGTGGCCCTGGGTTCTGGAATGTGGCAGGGCTGTCCTGCAGGCTCTGTCCAGGCTGCGAGCACTGCGGAGGGGCCGGTGGAGGCCGGGTGGTCAGGGCCATGCCCTGCGTCGAGGTCCGGGCAGCCTAGCATTCCACGGAGCTTCTTCTTCACTTTGGGACAACCCTCCTGCCAGTCCCTGCCTTGGCTGCAACTTGGGGGCTCTGAGGACATGTCAGGACCCTGCTTATTTCAGGAGGCCCCGAGTGGACCTCACTGTGGAGTGTCTCCGCAGGCGGCAGAGCACAGGGGTGTGAGAGTAACCCTGGGCACAGTGCCGGGGGGGCTGGGGGACAGTGCTGGGGTGCTGGAGTGGGGGACAGTGCCGGGGGAACCTGAGGCATAGTGCTGGGGGCCTGGGGGACAGTGCTGGGGTGCTGGAGTGGGGGACAGTGCCGGGGGAACCTGAGGCATAGTGCTGGGGGCCTGGGGGACAGTCCTGGGGGCACCTGGGGGACAGTGCTGGAGCAGGGCACAATGCTAGGGGGACAGTGTCGAAGGGACTGGGGGGCATGGTGCAGCAGGAGCCCAGAACGAGAGGAACACAATGCTTCCAGCACCAGAAGCAAGGGGCGGGTGCTGGGAGAAACTTCTGCTGTGCTGTGTGCAGGAGGAGTGAAAGTGGGATGTAGGGGGTGTACAGTGCCGGGGGGGGAGGGCTGGGGACCTGGGGGGACAGAGTACTGGGGTTCTGGGGAGAAAGAGTGGGGGTCTCTAGAGGGCAGAGTGCTAAGGGGGCCTGCTGGGTCACAGGTGGAGAAGTGGGATGGGGCTCCAGGACATCCCGGGCCGGGCCGAGCTCCCCACAGGGCCTCTTGTTTCCAAAGCACTGGTGACGAGGCTGTCCCGGCCCTGACATTCTGACAGCTCTGGGCCTACATACCATGGTCACCCACTAGAGGGGGTCTGGGCCGCCCACCTGCAGAAGCCCAGAGATAACCCAGTGCCGGCAAGGCCATGTACCCAGGCCCTAAGCCACCCGGGGACGTGGCCCTACCCGAGTCATGCCTGTCCCTCGTCTGGCTGGAAGATGATGGGGGGTGCATGGCAGAACAGCTGGGGCTCCAGAAGGCAGAGAGCAGGAGGCTCTGAGTGCCAGACGCAGTGGGAGAGGCAGGGCTGGGGGCAGGTGCGGGGGCCACAGGGCCACACTGCCACACTCTGGGACAGGGACAGGAGGGCCATGCTCTGGGACAGGGCAGAGGGCCACACTCAGGAACAGAAGGACAAAGGGACAGAGGGCCATGCTCCCAGACGGGGTGGTAGGGCCACACTTGGGAGGGACATGGCTACACAGGCCCCTCCGCTCCCTCTGGGCAGGCATGTGGGAATGCACCTTCCCCGAGGGAGAACCCGGCTCTCGGCCCTGAGTCTGGTGCGACTCAGATGCCGTTTCTCAGCTCTCCAGGCCTGGTGGGAGGCTGCCCAGGACGTAGAAACCCATGGAGGCCTAGGAGCCCTGTAGTGAGCAACCAGGCTGGAGCAAGCACTGGGTTCCAACTAAGCCACGAGTCCAGGTGACAAAGGGACACTACACTCTCGGGCCGTCAGAACTTGCAGCCTCAGACAGAGACCCAGAGTTCCAGGGTGCCGAGCACGAGCCCAGGGAGGTACGCGGGCGGGAAGGGGACAGCACAGGCGGGAAGGGGACCACACGGGTGTGAAGGGGACTGCGCAGGTGTGAAGGGGACCATGCAGGTGTGAAGGGGAGACCACACGGGTGTAAAGAGGGGACCGTGCAGGCGTGAAGAGGGGACCACACACAGGTATGAAGAGGGGACCGCGCAGGCGTGAAGAAGGGACCACACACAGGTATGAAAAGGGGACCATGTGGGCGTGAAGAGGGGACCACACACAGGTATGAAGAGGGGACCACGTGGGTGTGAAGAGGGGACCATACGGGCGTGAAGAGGGGACCACACGTAGGTATGAAGAGGGGACTGTGCAGGTGTGAAGAGGGGACCACATGCAAGTATGAAGAGGGGACCATGCAGGCGTGAAAAGGGGACCACACGCAGGTATGAAGAGGAGACTGTGCAGGTGTGAAGAGGGGACCGCACACAGGTATGAAGAGGGGACCACGCGGGCATGAAGAGGCGACCACATGCAGGTATGAAGAGGGGACTGTGCAGGTGTGAAGAGGGGACCACATGCAAGTATGAAGAGGGGACCATGCAGGCGTGAAAAGGGGACCACACGCAGGTATGAAGAGGGGACCGCGCAGGCGTGAAGATGGGACCACACACAGGTATGAAGAGGGGACCACGTGGGCGTGAAGAGGGGACCACATGCAGGTATGAAGAGGGGACTGTGCAGGTGTGAAGAGGAGAACGTGCAGGCGTGAAGAGGGGACCACACGCAGGTATGAAGAGGAGAACGCGCAGGCGTGAAGAGGGGACCGCACGAGTGTGAAGAGGGGACTGCGTTGGCTTGAAGAGGGGACTGTGCGGGTGTGAAGAAAGGACCACACACAGGTATGAAGAGGGGACTGCACAGGCATGAAGAGGGGACCGCGCGGGCGTGAAGAGGGGACCGCGCAGGTGTGAAGAGGACCGTGCAGGTGTGGAGGGGATCACACACACCCTGCGTCTGGAATTGCGGCCGTGGCGCCCTAGCAGTCTCACAGTCACTGCTGCGTGAGTTTCTAGGTCCACAGCCCGAGAGGGCGGTGCCCAGCCCTGCCCTGTGCACTGTTGCTGCCCGGCTCTGGGAGGCCCCGCTCACTGGGTCCCCACTGAAGGCCATCAGCAGAGCCGCAGCTGGTCTGGGGAGGGAAGCCTGCCCCTACTCCGTCCCCAGACCTTGCAGGTGGGCACAGGCTCCTGCCGTGGTCATGGGACGTGTATGGACGGGGGGTGGAAGTGGGCTCCCCCGCCTCCTCCGAAAGCCCTCCTCTGCCTGGGGAGCGGTGCTCACCTGTGACCAGGGGTGGCTGTGCCGGTGGCTGCTCCAGGAGGACCATGTGCTGCAGGAGAGGGCTGTGGGCCGGCCCGCCGTCCCGCTCCAGGGGCGAAGAGCTCAGGGAGGGCGCGAGGGGGG